CATTATACTCAATTTGATTGAAACGACTAAGTAAAAGCTGCAGTGTCTGTCCTTCGGGACATCCGTTAAAATTGGAACGGTACAGAAAGAGAAGATTAGCATGGCCCACACGCATAAATCGAGAAATGGTCCAAATTTTTATGCTTAAAAAAAAAAAAAAAAAAAAAACCTGCAGTGTCAAAGACTGTAACATAATACCCAGCGAGTAAATGCCACTCAGTAGCGAGTCCGAGGACTCTAGCCCAGCCCAGCCCAGCCCCGCCCCGCCCCCAGCCCACACTACCTGAACACAACATACGGCCATTATAGCTGTATTTGGGTGATCTTTCATTCTAAATACAGCTATAATGACCATACGTTGTATTCGGTGGAAGAAGGTAGATTCCAGATTCCGCCAGAAGTCTCAGGTTCCCAATTTCCCTGGAGGTATGGGGCTGAGTGACTGAAGGCATTGTTTGGTTTGCACTCTTCCCTCTTCTCAGTCATTTCGGATGGTCCTGATTGTCCAAGAGATCATTGAGTGCTCATACCATTATTTTATTTTATTTTACTAACACAAATTCATGAACACAGCCGTTGGATTTCTAAAAATAGACTCAAACATATTAAGTAGTCCAATAGGGGCCTGCATCCCTAGGACGAAAGGGGCCTGACGGGAGGACGGAAGAGTAAGATTAGTAAGGAGTCAGGTCCTTGGCCTTCAAAGGCAGAGCAAGGGCAAGAGCAAGAGCGAGAGCAATAGCTAGTTGAAGTTCGTTTTCCCTGAGATAACCACCTAATACCTGTAATCTGAACACAGTCACGGTGGCAACATACATCCTCACGCCACTGCGTCAATTCGAATCTTCCACTCTGACATCTACGACCCTTTCATGCCTCTCCTGTCCGCTCAGTATACATCAGACAAAGATGTCGGTCCCAGTGTCCAACAGAGCAGAACCATCACAAACCCAAAAAGTAAACAATTGCCCGCAGAGATGGTAATGATCAGAGGTGCCCTCTTGGAATGACAGTAAGAGTATCGCTCACTTGCTTGTATGCCTTCTCTCTCTCTCTCTCTCTCTCTCTCTCTCTCTCTCTCTCTCTCTCTCTCTCTCTCTCTCACACACACACACACACACACACACACACAC